TGTATTAATCAAAGAAAAATCAGAAAAACCGTGACGCTGTGACGAAAAACGATCAAAAGTGACACAGCGTCACGGTTTTTCTGATTTTTCTTTGATTAATACAGGTTAATCAGAATAGTTTCGAACTTAAAAAGCTATTACATCTTGTAGAGTAAACAATTTTCTTCAAACTGGTATACTTGTTCAATTTTCGCCTGTTCGTCTTCACTCTTTTAGACACGTTTTTCAGATAGCTCTAAAATCGATTTATGGGACTGTTTGTACAACAGCTGTATTTTCATAACGAATCAACGTTCAGAGCCGAGACACTTTTCATTTTGTAGAGAAAAATGTTTAATCTACTTAGTTATCTAGCTGTAATGTTAGATTATTTTCTAACTTTATTGCCATAGTTCTTTGAAAAAGAGTGAAGGACTTTTCATATTGATTATCATGAATCAGAATAAATCACGTATGAATATATGTCACATTTACTTATTATTCGATATCAGTAGAAATCTATGTTCGAAGACGTAAAAATAAAAAAATAGTAAAAAAAAATATATGAAAAAAACATATTTTGGACCGATTCACGTGGAATAGCCTAGACCGAAATCGCGCACAAAATTTCTTTACAATCTAAAGAGATTTCATTTTGTGATGTATATGAGAGAAGATTGGATATAGAAAAGAAGAATACTTAAAACTCTCCCTTTTTTTTTCTCTCTTTTATATTAATTGAACAATCTATTATTCTTCTGCTTCTTCGAAAATTCATTCATTCAATGGAAGGAGTTCTACAAAGGAAATTTGCTTACTTTTCAATCCTGTTAGTACTTTTTCTCTATTTACATCTGTCGATGAATTTAGTACATCTGTTAGATTGTTAACTGCCACTTCAGCTACTTTAACTGGATCCACTATTTCAGTAAATTCACTATCTGGCGTAATTAATTCTAAAATTTTATAGGCTTCAAGTGTAATTTCACCATTGTTTACTTGCGTAAATTTTGTAATAATATCAGTTAATTGTTTATCTTTTACTATTTTTAATATATTATCATTCAAACATAATTGATATATAAGATGAATAATAGCTTGTATTAATAATGTTTGAGAATTAATAGATATTGGTGAAATATTTTTTAATAAATTTGTTGAATTTAATATTTTAATAAAATTTTCAATAAGATTTTCTTCATATCCAAGTAAAATTTCTTCGTTTAAATCAGATGATAAAATTATAATTGTCATAGAACAAATACAACGTGTCATAGGTTGACTCCATTGATCAACTACAATTAAAAATTTTTCATAAATATTTATATAATTTTCTATCATTGTTTGAACAAGTTTATTTGCTAAAATTTTTTGTTGATTACCAGTATAAGCATTAAAATAATCGGTACATGTTACTAATAAAAATTGTTTAGATTTAATTAATTTTTTTGTTTCTGGATGAAGTTGAATAAATGTATCAATATAGAATGATGATGATAAACATGCTACTACAGAATCGAGTAAAAGTGATAAAGCTGGATGATCCATAATAGATTTTTGTTCAGTTTGAAAATATGAAAATATTTCTAATAATGTACCCAAATTTTCTATATTATTATCTTGTAAATGTCTACCTTTAGCTATATCTAGAACACAAGTAAATACACCTCCAATAAATGTTAAATTTAATAGCCATTGTTGAATTTTATCAATTTTGTTTACATCATACGCTGATTGTCTAACTAATTTCGATAATAATTTTACTATAAGTTCAAATAGATTACATTCATCATTGGTTAAATAATCTTCAGAATGCCATTTTTCTAATAATATACGTAATGTATTTGGTATTAATTGAATGTATAAATTATGATCTATTAGTGATGTAGCAGTTAATATTTCATCTGGTAAATCATTTAATTTCTGACATATTTCTTCTACCGATTTTGTACGTGCTCGTAGTTCTTGACTTAAAAGTTCATAGATGTTTGGTAATTCATTAACAGAAGCCGTTTTTAACACATCAAGTGAAGATAGTTGTCGACTTAATCGTAATTTGCTAAAAGATAGATTTCGAAATTTTTCGAATTGATTCATAGTATAAAGTAATTTAATTTAATTCATTTTAGAAAGTAATATTTAATTAAAATATTTGTATATGTTTGTCTAATTTCAATTTTTGTATAAATTAGATAAAGATATAGAAGAAGATGTGCGTAAGCTACAGTTTTTACATGGTGGTATAAGGTATGATATGCTTGACAAAACAAATAAATAAGGACATAAAACCTTGTGTATGACAGCAAAATAATAAAACAACAGAATGTTTGTGTGCTATATTATAGACAAAAACATAATGCTTGATGCATTTTTCTCTTATTTCCTATTTATGAAAAGAATTCCTTTATACATCAAACGGTAGGCAATTTAATTCTTTATAAGATTGAATGTTTATTTTTAAGATTTATTTTTGATATTTGACACAGTAACTTTAACAAGAAAAGCTCAAGATTTTTTAACTGCATCTTCAAAAAACAATCGATTTTTTTTTTGCACAAAACCTCGATAAAAATCACTTGTTCAACAAAACAAGGTATACCGAAAAGTTCAGTAAGAAATTTTCTACAATATGATGTTGTTGTTTTTAATGAGAAATAATGACTTTTTATTATTGAGATTAGAGGGAAAAAAGAGTCTTTGAAAAAGGTTATTTTCGATCATCTTAGCGACTTCATTCATATCAATGATAATGATGCTCATATCAATAGGTGCGACATTCCTTAGTTTTCCAGGTAAAAAGGTAGCCGGTTTATTTGTAAGTTACACAGTCTAACAGAGTACGAAACAGAGCTGCATTTTCTGGTGTGTACAGCAATGATTCGAACTTTGGATTTTTATACTGAAATAGTCAAAACATTTTTTTAATGCTAGAAACTTCGGTGGACTTGGAAGTTTATGTATTACAACCACTAGCAATTGAAATAAATTAACTTTTACGTAAACTCTTTTGTAAAACATGAAATTCTTCACCATTTGACGATAATAAAATTATTTGAAATTTTTTTGTACTCATTATAAGTAATTAAAAAACAGCAGAGAGCAACAAAAGAGAGCAGTTTGCACTTTAAAACTGCGTAATGCAGTTAAAAAATGTTCAGCTTTTCTTATTAAAGTTACTGTGCCAAATATCAAAGATGAATCCTAAAAATAAATATACAATCTTGTAGAGAATCTTGTCTATCGTTAGGTATATAAAGGAATTCTTTTTATAAATAGGAAATGAGAGAAAAATGTCCCTAGATTCAGTGCAATTTATTCCGAGATACTCGTTATATTAAAACGTTATTATGATATTAATCAAAATTATTTTCGTATCATAACGTGTTTTGATAAAAATATTTTTTGAAATAGCCAGAATCTACATGAAAGCGTAAGAATGAATTTTCGATCTACAATGTCTGTTTTAAGAGTACCTCTCCCTTCTTTCTGGCCTTTCCGTAGAAATACTGTGAAATAAAAACTAAAAGTCACTAAGACCTCATATTTTTCGAACTGATTGGGAACTCAACGGAGCACTTTTTCGTTTTTATTTCAAAATTTTTAACCATTGCTGTTTACCAGTTTTCCAGAAAACTCGGCTTTTCATTGGACCACATTACGACCCCAGTACAGAAAAGGAGAGAAAAGTTTATAAGACTAAAAAATTGAGCTTTTTAATTAAGGCTTTGAAGGAAAAACTTCAAAACTGCATAACTTTCTGACGAGAGATCATGGAATGCTGGGAGTGGTCTTATTTTGTAGTCCACACATTCCTCTACATTAGTTTATGTTCAGCTTAAAAGTCGAAATTTTTTCAAGAAAGAGCAGGGAGGGAGTACCCTTAAATGAAATAAAAGTGAAATTTTATGTGTCTGTCTCTCAATATACATGTCAGAGATCGTCATGAGACGGGACGACAAAAACTGCCTCTAAGGAAGAAAATTTTTATTCTGACTCATCCCATCTCATCTATACTTTGGAAAATTTCACGTCGTCCTGTAAAATTCCGTAGGATCTCATAAGTTTCCCATCTCACGACTCATCTTCTAATGAATGTTTAAGTCATATTTTTAATTTTAATGACACACGTTATATCTTTGTTGTTGTAAAGTATTCTCCATAATGAGAATTATGTTCTTGAAATGTCGAATAAATATAACTGGATATAATTAGTTCGTACGAGTACCAAACAAGCTGCAACAAACATTATTAGCATTCTGTTAAAATTTTTGCTCCTAAGTCCCCTCCTCCCTCCGCCGGTCAGAAATCTATCTCAGTAAACACAAGTCTGATCTACGCAAAAATTTCAGAGAATATTGGGTATGTTGAGGAATAGTTGTGATATAATTTTTGAGGCTTCATCTATCATCGTTTAAGAGACGTCGCTCGAATATGTATAAAAATGGGTCATCTACCGTCCGGCAGATTTCTTCTCCCATAAAGCAGCTGGAGCTCCTCTCATAAATTCGGCTCTGTATATCATTCCTGTAGCTGTTCACTTTAATTTAAGATCAACCAGAGCTCTCCAACTTTTAAAATGGCCAAAAACTTTGGTAAAGGGTGTTGACTGCCAAATGACAAAGTGCCTTTGGGATATAGTAGCCCCTATGGTAGACACGGCGCCTATTTTTAACCTTTTCATCCACCTTCGTATGTATTATAACTTTCGACTAGAACGTTGCCTGGATCTGGGAGACGTCCCACTTTGATAAAAAAATGTTTGCACTATAATCTGGTACCATAAGAGAATTCTTTGTTTAGATTTTCTATGAATTTAAAGCAGTTTTTGATGAATGTCTCCTTTTCATGGAGTCGGATAGCAGACCCACTGGACTATTCAGTCCTGTGTTTTATATGACCTGTCTGAGAACATTAATTGGCGTGACATTGGGAGATAAGATGTCGAATGACAAAGTGATGGACTTAACCGGGCAACTAGCTCTTGAAGACATTATGAGAAGAGATCGGCTTAGATGATTCGGGCATGTAAACAGAATGGAAGACGCAAGTAGAATGCCTGATTTTTGAAACAGATAATGTTTTCTTATTTGCCCGATTGTCGAAGACCACTAAATGTCAGTATAAGGGAATGGTGGGAGGAAAAAATTATGGATGATCTCACCAAACTTGGGATAAAAAACTGGCGAAGAGAAACCATAAATAAAGATAAGTGGTGTCAGAGTATCAACAGACACACACACGTTAAATCTGTACACTAAAACATTCAAAAAATTGTGTATGAATATAAAGAGCAAGCTAAGAAACGGCGAGCAGACGAACTAGCTCAATCAATTCAAGCTAAGAATCCTTCTCTCACCACTCAGATTACATCAGTAAGCATAACGTTTGTCCAAATTGTGACAGTGTGTAAAAATGAGCGAGGCGTGAAAAGTCATCGAAGGACATGTGATAAGAAAACACAAGCTTTAAATACAGTAACACCAATCTTAACTCAAGCTAAAATAACGAATTTAATTAGTAAAACCAAACGAAATAAATATGTATATCCTAGTTGTGGAAAAGTTTTTAAAATCCAAGGAATTTCCAGGCATGTAAAAACGTGTACCAAGGATTGGTGTAACAAAAATGGAGTACGAGTTGGTTAGAAAGGAAATCATCTAAAACTATTTTAAAAGATAGTGGAGCAACAGGAGCAGGCTTGTCGAAAAAGCAGAGCTCTCATGATTTGATAAAATGATGGGTACTCCTGAAGCCATATCCGCTTGTATTTTGGTGGTGGCTCGCTGATGGTACATCTTATCATTAACGGCTTTTACAACGAACGAACTCGAAATAAACTGTTGGAACATTTTGCATTCTCTAGAAGGCCCAAAATTTTATCCCCTTTTTTGTGTAATCCCTTTTTTTTGTGTTTTTGTTGTTTCGACCTTCACCCTAAACCACTTCTCGGTAAGGGAATATTCTTCCCCTTCAGTGATGTGCTTACCAATATCAATCTCTTTGGAAAAACATCGTATTTTTGAAAGGACGCCTTAAATAAATTCAATTTTTTGTATGTCTTTGACACAAAATAATGACAGATAGTGAAAATGATATGACAAACATTCTTTATATACATTGTTCAAGTCTTTAGACGTCTATTACTTCACGCATGATTAGAAACATAAGTGAAGGCGAAATTTGTCTAAATCTTTGTGGATACTCGATGTACACATTCTTCTTGTTTTCTGTTCTTTACACGATATCATTTAAGTTCATAAGCTATATAAGAAAGTAAAACGAATGAAATAAGAAAATAATTTTGCTATACACATAATCGAATTGTCTTAGATTATATAAAATATTTGCCATTCACAAACATGATCAATCTTGATAATAAACGTGTTATTGTTTCCTCGAATGGTGATATTGAAATACCACCAATTATCGACCAAGACAACTTAAAATTATTAAAAACATTATTATGGAAATTAGATACTCGACTAGTGCCATTTTTAGCTTTACTTTATCTTTGTTCATTTTTGGATCGAATTAATATTGGTATGTTCTTAAAAGATAATCAGACTAGATGCCAACTACCCTACGGACAGACTGGAAACCCAACCGAGTGAAACGTATCTTAGAAACCCTTTAGACACCGTTTAAATCCCTTAAAAACGATTAGAACATTGCAGTGCTCTAGTAGTAAACCTATGATGCATTTTATCGGTAATAAATCCTCTCTTGCACTCTCGAATGATCTTTTTCCCAAATATCTACGATAGCTGAGAACGAGCGGCTGACTCGAAGCATAAAGTAATTTAATTCAACCATTCATAAATTCAACGAAATGTAGAAGAAGAACGAGCGTACGGTAGTCCAGTTTAATCTTCTCTCTATCTGTTCGGACTTCGAAACAGGGTGAAATTAAAATAATTTTTTGGCGAACATGTTAGAAACGGGTGAAGATTTTTTCTGGCTTTTTAGAGAGTTTCATATTTAAAAAAACATTTGCTGAAAAAAAGAACAAAAAATCTTAGAAAGCAAGATGGTGTTACTCCCACACACTTCTTACGCTCCTGCCTCGAAGTGTGTTCGAATCTGCACCCCAATTCATTATTTCTACAATCTTCTGTTGTAACATGTCTCGTCGATATTGATGACTCCTGCGCTAAAATCTTGTTTCCCACTTATTTCTTTCTCTCTTTTCTTTTTCCAGCGTAGCGAGGGATTTCAACGTCTTATGATCCTGTTTAGTCGCATTCGTATGCCGAGCACTATTACCTTGTGCGCAATACTCCAGTGAATGTTCTTGGGTATAATGCTTCCGAAAACGTACTATAGTTTACATTGACTTTATCCTAAAGATTAAATATAAACAGGACTAGTACAACTCCTGCTCTTGATTCCGAATATCAGGTTTAAAAGATTTTAAAATAACGGCGAACGTTGCTCTCTGGAAAATTTTTGAGTGTAACACCCCTCATACTTTCAAAAAATTTTGCTCTTATTCACTCCGATTTTGATAAAATCGAATAGTGATTTACTCCGATATTTACAAAAAATTTTGAGTATTTTACTCCGATTTTACGACTTACTCCCCATGTTTGAGACCTCTTGGCGTCGCCCCTGGATAAAGTCAATGTAAACTATGATATGCTTCCGAAAGAATTACTCACTTACGATGGGATGCTTATTTACTTATGAATTTCTTGAGTACTTGACAAAACACTTGGTAAGTATTTTTGTGAAGTAGCACTTGGTACTTACTTGTCAAAGTATATGAAAATATTTACCGGAGACTTGATTTACTTATTGGATCTCTCACTGGTACTTGTCGGTTACTTGAACAAAAGTGCTTGATAAAAGGGTAATTAAGTAAGTTAAGTACTTAGACTTTCTTTCTTTAGAAGTACCTAAACTATTTGCAAAAAATTCCAAGAATTTTGAACAAAACTTGCGAAAGTACTTGTGCAAGTACATTCAGTAAGATATACAGTATTGTGCAAAATTACAGGGATAGTGGGCATTTTTAACTTCTCTGTTCTTTTTTGTTCTTAATAGTAGTTTTCAAAAAGAAAAGAGTGCATGGGTTGATGCAGCAACGTGTGTTCTACCCGAATATTTTTTTGAAAAATTTTCACAACTTTACGAAGAGTACGTATTGGACATAAGTCAGAAAACAGCTGCTTCTTTGTTTATTAAGTGTGTGATGTCTTTCTGTTCTGTTTTGACCAAAATATTGCATTCGTCTCGTTTTCCACATTCATATTCGATATCCTAATCACATCCTATACATAATGGGTCACAAAAAAGTAATTTTAAGCCAGAAGGCCGCTGCAAGAGCCCTTTTACAGACCGGTTTATGGGTTTCCAAGATTGCCAAATAACTTGGCATATCAAGAAATTGCGTTTACAATCTGACAAAAAAGAAAACTAGTCCTAGTCAAAAATCGTCGTGATTCAGATCGTAAAAGAATCAGCACCAAGAAAGAAGATCGCCAATGATTGTTATTAATGAAGAAAGAGCGTCAAAAATCTGTCGTCAATTAGCTACAGAGCGTATTTATCAAGAAGACTAGTGGATCCGTCAACTGTGCGTCGAAGACTAATTACAGCTGATTACAGAGGCTACTTCATAAAACGAAAATCATTCCGTAAACAATGTCATCGTCGTCTTCGTTTAAAACTTGCCAAAGATCATGTACATTACAGTTTAAATGATTGGAAACATGTTGTATTCAGCGAATCATATTTTGAACCAAAAAAATCGTTCTTTTGTCCATCGTACATAATCAGAAGCAAATCACTCGTTAAGTTTCCGTACACGAGTACAAGATAGGAGAGGAAGCGTGAGTGTTTGGAGATGTATGACGGCTACCGGAGTTCATCCTTTGATTGTCTACAAAGGTTGGATAAATGGACCACGCTATATTGATATTATGAGTCAAAGTTTAATAGCTTTTGCCAAGAAAACAGTCAAAAGAAAAGAAAAATGGTCTTTTATACAGGATAATGCGTCTTGTCATAAAAGTAAGTTTAGCATGGCATGGTTTCAAAAACACCAGATTAATATTCTGAGCTGGCCAGCAACGCCATCCGATCTTAATCCGATCGAAAATTTCTGAAACTTAATTGATAAAAGGTCAATTGAATTAAAACCACGTAATGCCGACCATCTTGAACAACTAATCAAAGAAATTTGTTATAAAATTGAACCAGCAACATGTCAGAAACTGATGGAAACGATGCCTGGTCATCTCCAGACTTGTATTAGTGTAAATGGTGGGACATCAGCGAAATATTGAAATTTGTTTCAGTAGTTTTATACAAAAAGTATTTTGTCTGGATAATTTTGCACAAGCAAAACTGGATTCTCTTTTAGCCATAAGCTTTTTTCAGAAAAAATAAAGTTGTGAAAATTTTTCAACAGCATATTCGGATAGAGCATACTTTACTGCATCAGTTCATATATGCTTTTCTTTTTGAAAACTAATATTCAGAACGAAGAAGAAAACAGAAGTTAAAAATGCCCAATGTTCCTATAATTTTATACAACACTGTATCATAGCAAAATTTATATTTTACGGATGAGTCATCACTTCTTGCCAGAGCTTTAAAGAATGCACAGCTAGAACTCTGATATTTTCGTATGATATTGTAAGATCTCATGACAAGAAATTTAAATATCAGGAACTACTGGTATAAGACCATATAACGTCTTATGTATGGCTCTTCAAGCACGTGATGATTTCATCTTTTATACTTTCTTCTAGGAAATGCTAGACTAGCCGGTTTACAAGCTGATCTTAACATGACAGACGCACAATATAGTTGGTCACTATCAATATTTTTTTTTGGATATGTAAGGATAACTCTGTTTATTATTAAAAAAATTTGTTTAGTCGATTTTGCCTATAGGTTTTATTTGAAGTTCCGTCAAATATTATGTTAAAACAGATTGGTTCAAAAATATGGCTTTCAACTCTTATGATCATGTGGGGAACCATCATGATTTTGATGGCCTTTGTGCGTTCACCGAGCGGTTTATTAGCTACAAGATTTTTTCTCGTACGTTAAAGCTAACAATTTTTTCAAAGACTTGTTATCATTTTTTTTAAGTGAACTTTAGGGTGTATCAGAAGCGGGACTATTTCCCGGTGTGGTCTTCTATCTATCCCTATGGTATACTCGACGTGAACAAACAATTCGAATCGCTCTATTCTATTCGGCTGCCGTTTTTTCAGGAGCATTTGGAGGAGTTTTGGTAAGATATTTTTAACTAGTTGATATTATAATTGATTAGTCATATGAGGTAGTTACTCGTTCAAAATAACTTGATTGTATTGGAAAATTTTACGAGATATCGAGATATCGAGATAGACATAAACATATGAAAGTTTGTCTTAAGTCGTGTGCTCTTGGAAGCGTTAAAGAAGAAAATATAATAACAAAGAAAATCCGCTCTATTTTAGACTTAACTCCGTGATATCGAAAGTGAACGAGCACATGATTTTATGGTGTTGTGTAATATTGGCTTTTGCTTCAGTGATGATATTTGCTGAAAAAGTCGATGCTGCGAATTTGTTACAATATGTTTTTAGTACTTTTTTCTGCATAAAACAAAACTATATTTCCGCCACTTATTGGAACCTATCGAGTAAAAACCTGCAGTCTGAATCTGCTTTCATAGTTTCCTCTTTAAATATACTTAACTCTCTTATTTCCGTTTTGTTTCTTCATGAAGAAACTCAGAAACTTATCGGATATTTGAATTCTATGTCTTGAATCAATGTCTGATAAATAGTCAAGGGGAAAACGCAAGGGGGAAAAAGCATACTTCTGTACTTCTGGTACTTCTCCGTACTTCTTGATACTTCTTCGTACTTCTTCGTACTTTTTTGTACTTCTCCGTACTTCTGAAGTACGGAGAAGTACAAAAAAGTA